TATATATATAAAATTCCAGAATTTTTTAAATCTGGAATTAAGGTCTAGGAAGGGAAACTAGTTTTCAATGCCTTCTGTTTAATGGTTAGTAACAAAGTCCTAAACTGTGGACTTCATTTGTTAGTCGTTTATTTTTCTTGGAGTTGACCATTAGAATTTTGTTCTGAGCCATTTTGGATTAAGTACACACCAACTATATTTTACTCAATTACTATGTCTACATATATTCTGCAAGGTCTCCTTCCCCAGGGGATGTGTGTGGAAAGAAAATTATTTCTCTGTGGAAGTCCTGTGGAAGAAAATTACTCTTCTGGTCAAAATAGAGAAGTGTGGCCTACCCAGTATCTATTTTTTCTAGCCCTGTTGGGGCAGGGTTATCTAACCTATATTTGAAATGAGCGAAAGGGATCAGAATGCAAAAAGAAAAAGAAAAAAAAGATTTTGAACAGGGAAGTCTTGTTCGCACACTAATGTATTTTCTCGCCATACTGGAAAAACTCCAGTGAAACAATTCTCTAGTTAGAGATTGTGGAGACGGTTGCTCTGTGCGACTTGATCCGTAATGGTACATTTCCACCATGATAAGGACCTCTTGTTGTTACAGTCAACAATGTCAAGCATGCAAATCAAGATGACCGGGTTGGGTGGCCATGCCTCAGAATGTGCCGTTATGTGGACCCCAAAGCCATTGTCTCCAGCCACATGTGCCAGATCTTTCCACGTATTTTTCTTTTTTCTTCCCCCATCGTGAATATTTCTCAGACAAGTGACTGATAAGGTATGCTTTTAATCCATTACGATTTGGCTTGCAGGACAATGATTCCTTTCTGTAACGATTTATTCTCCTCCCCCATTTCTTTCCCTTCCTTGGTTGGGAAGTTTCACCACCGATCCCATCAAAATATCAACTTTTCAAACTTAGCAAGTCCCATCTGATTATTAATCAGTATCCGCAAAGAATGGATTGTCTTGCTTCATTCCTTTTGCACGTTTATCCTAGCCTGTTTTGGGGCAATTAGCATTCAGAGTTCTTTGTACAAACAAACAAAGAAAAGTGTTTTCATCTGGGTGGCTGTTGCTACGCAGAGCCGGTCCTACCATGAGGCAGAGGGACACAACTGCCTTAGATGGCACGTCTTCTGTCTGTTGCTCTGAGACATTATGAGAAACAGGACTCTGACAGTCCTATCCTATCCAAACATGGTTGCCACTGGATCAGCTCTTAGGTAAACCCACCAAACATCCAGGATCTGGCCCTGGATACACCTAGTAGTGGGATTAAGCTATATAGTAATCTTGAGTATTCAAAATATTATGGTACCTGTTGGCTTCCTGGTGTGAACATGGTGGCTGGGAATTATGGGAATTAAAGAGGGGAGGTTATGTTAACAGAACTAGAAAAATCTATTAAATAAGAATATGGTATAAATGAGGTATTGTTAAGGGTGCACCCAGTAGATGTGAGTTCAGAATACATAGAAATGTGGGTCTCCAAAACTCAAATAAGCAAAGCTCTGTTTTCTCTGTGCCATTTTAAGATATGTTTAAATGCTGTGTTAAATTGAAGAAAGTGGTATCATGTTTATCAAACTGTTTGAGAAATATAATGGCAATGGCTATTTTTCATGCATTTAGCTAGCTTAAAGATACAGCTTTTACCTTTAACTATATTCAAGGCCAGTATGGCAAGTTCAAGGAGGTATCTTTTTGGTGTCTTGTTGAGACAATAAGCACCTTAAGATACTTTCACCAGCCATGAAATTGACCCCAGGAGATATATCCTCTCTCACAAATAAGTTAAGCCAACACTAACTTGGTAACCATGGTTCATACATTATTCCTTCGTGCAATGAGTGCTTTGAATAGTAGAACAATCAGACAACAGCTTCAATACAACCCCAAATATTGTGCTACCTAAGGTAAGGATCAAGATGGTGCTCCCTTTCATTCCATGTATCAAAGTCAACCCAACCGCCAATTGAATTGTTCTTCAACAGTGGTGATAATGGTCACATTGCGACAACATTCACTACTGCACCTCAAGGCTCAAGACTAGTTTAGGTGGCACAAAGTTAGGTTCACTGGGCACATAGCTTATGTCTCCAAACCTTGTTGGCACCTCCCTGCATTCTGCCAAAGAGTAGGGCCAGCCAGCTTGAATAAATATTAATGCAATTTGCATCTTACTTATAGGATGAGCTTTGCTTTAAAAAGGAGTTTCCACCAAGGGTAGAGTAGGGTGTTCACCTGAACCTGAACGGATGGGAAGCTCCTTGTGTGCAATATGTATATTTACTTCAATTGTGTACATTCTACATGTAAAAGAAAGCAAGACATTCTGAAAAGCATTATTTTTAACCAGGGATGTACAGTCTAGTGAAAAGTTGAGGAGTTGAAACTGATAGCAGGAAGGCAATTGCAGGCCTTGTATTACGCAGTTGGTTGCTGCTAGTATTTTTGGAAATGTATACATATGTATATACACACACACATATGCACATACATATATATACATATGTAATTTAACATATTTTTGGCTATGTACAGATATTCTAAAAATGACTGAGAATCTGGCTTCTTCAGGCCTGTTTCTCTGGAAGAGTCTTCATGATCTTTGAACAGTGTTTGACAATCAAAGCCAAAATATGGGTGACTGAAATGTATTTAATTGGGGTGGGGCTTGTTTTTGCACTGACAGCTTGCAAGTTGTTCATACTTAATGATGTACTGTACAAAATATGTTTGAGTGACATCCCCAAGATAGGTCCATTTTAATGTATCAAAACTTGTTCACTAAATCAGAGTAGATGTTCCGGGCTCTTATTCAGCTGTTGTTATTGACTCTTATGTCCGGATAATTGGATGAAGGTCCATTTTTCCACCAAGCAGCTGTTTTAGCATGCTAGCTATCGTGCACTGATTTGAGAGGAAGACTTCTCAAACGTGGTAGGTAGGGTTGCTTCTAAGAAAGCGTGCCACTATGAAAAAGAAACTGCTCGATTCAGGGAAATGGGAAGGAAAGGATCCTTAAATAATGTCACGCAAAAAATATATTTTGGGAATATTTGGGAAAGGTTTACTTGGTCCCCTTTCCCCAACCAGATGTTACTTTTTTGTTTGTGTGTTTTTTTTAAAACAAAGAGTTTCCAGGGAGTTTGGCGTGGACTAAGATTTTCTCTTAAAGGGTCTTGGTGCTAATAAGGAACAACCTTTCTATTGTTGCTTTAAGGTTCTCGGAGTGTTTTATGGTATGAAAGGAAAATCCTATGCCTCCTTTTGCAGGTTTTTCATTTGGATGTGGATATTGTGTGTGTGTGTGTGTGTGTGTGTGTGTGTTCAAGGGGATAATTGCTGCTTAAGTTTTATTTCTGTTACTGCTCAAATTCCACATTTTGTCACAAAAAACCCCCACATTGATCTCAATAAAAGAATTTCTCCCAACTGCACCACTCGAAGTGTTTACTTTTTCCTTCCACAAATGTGCTCTTACCGTCTCCGCAAAATATTATTTGGGCACAAATTAGTGTAAGGTGGTTTCCAGTTTGGCAGAAAGGGCAACTGAAACAGGATGTGGTGGACATTCAGCCTTTCTAAAAGTAGGATCTCTGCACAAAAAATGGACAGGGACATTTTTCTCCCTTTGCCATCATACTAAGGAACAGAAATGGCAAATTCCATGAAGTTTATTAGGAAGTGAGTCCCACAGAGCTCAAAGGGATTTAAAAGGACATGGTTAGAGTTTGTGCTGAATCATCCCATAAATTTGGTTTTCATTTTATTTGGGGTTGACAAGAACACGCTTCTCTGCAAGGCACAGGAACATTTATACCTCCCATTTATTTATTATTTATTAAACCAATTTGTATAGGCCGCCCATCTCATCACAGGCGACTCTGGGCGGCATACAACAAAGTTTGCAAGGAGAGTCACATTTTCATCCACTCACTTCCTGTAATTATTAAAGTCCATAAACAGCCATAGAAAACGAATGCAATGCAATGTTTATAGTAATACATGGAATAAAAAAAAGTTAGGAAGCACCACTCAGAGCGGTGGTGCTGGCAGCAGGATCAATCAGTTGGTGCATCTTAGGGTTTAAATTAGGACTGGGAAGATCTTGGAAAATCTTCACCTGTTCCTGTGAAATGCCAGGGTAGACAAGCAAAGCAATGAGAGAGAGATTTTGCAACACGCAGTTGTGCAAACCAGACCAAGGGGTTAGGGCAAGGCTGACATGGCTGCTTTGAAGGCTGTCTCTGATTTTGGGGGTGTGCAAGCGGGTGTCCGTTGACAGAGAAGTACTGGGACTATCTGCCTGTGGATCAACATGGCGAGGCATTTGCATGTGGAGGCAACCAGGAACAGCTTTTGAAGCAGCCATCCTCCAGCTGCAGAAAGTCATGGTATGATCAGCATCAGCGTTAAGGAAATTAAGAGGAGCATTATGAATCACAATGCTCCCCTTACGTCCAGACGTTACACACACATACATACATACATACATACAGACATACACACACAGACACACACATATATACATACATAAAAACATACATACACACTTTAATATATATGTTAAGGAAAATATATATATAAATATGAGGATGTAAGGGGAGCATTGTGATTCATAAAGACAAAAGTCCAAGTTCCTTAAGGAACCAGCAGCTGGCCTGTCCTGCAGAGGTGCAACATGGCTTGTCCAAGTTGTATGAGATGAGAGGCAATTTGGGGCTGTACCCACAGGGAAGCCATGGGAAGCATGCACAATGAATCTTTCAAGAGCCAGTAGCTGAGCTGCGCTTCAGCATTGACAGAGTTAATTCGAGAACACCCTAAAAAGGGAGGTGCAGATTTTCCCCAAACAGTTCTCCCTTTGCTGAGTGTGAAGATACGGGGGAAGGAATCAAAGGGAAGAGGGCCGACCTGTCACTGATGAAGTCATGGTACATGACTTTTGCTGCTCTGTTGAAAAGGAGAAGTCAGCAGCAAACCCCTGAGATCGGAAGTGGAGAGGAAGCTGATCAGGCATCACCCCAAGATGCCTTCCCTTCCCCAGGTTTGGGTGCTGGCTTTCGTGTCACTGCAAGGTACGTAACAGCAATGTTGGCTGCTTTGGGTTCAGTGCCAAATTTTTCAGTTCCGGGATATCTTTGTGGCTTCAAGATTTGGTAGAGGATTCTGCAGCATCTTTAGGGACTATCTCAGCTCCGCTTCACTTCCTGCAGCTGTGTGCTGAGACCGAGCTAACTTTCTCCGTTGTCTGCATGGAGTAGGGCCAGCTGGGGGTAGCTTCTGTGCAAGGACTGTTCTTAGGTATGAAGATTCCTTAGAAGAATGAGGTCATGAGGGTCATTTGTCTCAGCCTTACTAGGTAGACCACACAGGAAACATGACCAGATGAGCTCATTCTACTTTATTGTAAGGCTACATTAAAAGAATCTTGCAAATCTGAAAGTATAATTCTCCCCCCAACCCCATCTCCTTTACACCCCGAGAAATTAGGGAGGGTCTCTCCTGAGCCTCTTGCCCTTCCCGCTATCCAGCTGCTGGCCATGCTGTCTCTTATCTGATCGTTCTCTAGGCAGCGTCTCATGGTCCATTCGCCCAAGGTCTTTCCCACATACCATTACAATTTGGTTGCTCTTTTCATTTTCTTCTTGCTGGGAGTTCTTGCGATGATGATGATGATGATGATGATGATGATGATGATGATGATGATGATGATGATTTTCTACCACGGGTGTTCTCAGAAGGGAGTCATCTTCAGTCTGATCAGCTATCTCACACCAACTGGGTTCTCACAAGAATTGGTTATTGTGCTTTCACTTAATATGTCCCATTCTGGGGGACTGTAAGCCATGAATTATGGCTGAGTGCAGAGTGTAAACCTAGCAAAAACAGTATGTTCAATGAATCATGGTTCAAACAGATCATGGCTTAGTATGATGTGGGAACCCAGTTGCTAAGTCAGATCTTTGGTCTATTTAGTCTGATGTATCAAGAAATACAGGCTTTTCCATGTACAAAGCAAGGGTTGTAACACTAGGTTATGCCCACTGTATTTCTTCAGCTGGGATGAGTTCACTGGACACTACCTTGAAACATTCTTTGGGAATCTCTACCACTACTAATCTCCAACTTGGGTGCCCAGTGTAAGTCCTTCCAAAGAACCTGATAAGCAATGCTTCTTCCAGGAAACCAGAATGGTCAAATCCAGAATATAATTTGTGGGAAGGTGATCTAGTCAGGAGCAGGGGTTGCCGACTGGCCATCAACAAATTACAGCCCACCAAATTCTAGTTTTAACACGATAGCAGGGTATAAAGGTAAAAACATTCCTTGGATTTGAATATCTAGCTCAGTGTTTCTCAGCCTTGGGAACCTTAAGTGTGTGGACTTCAACTCCCAGAATTCTGGGAGTTGAAGTCCACACATCTTAAAGTTCCCAAGGCTGAGAAATACTGATCTAGCTTTTGGAAAGTGGGGAACATTAAATGCACAGATGTAATTGAACGATCTGGGTGGGGAAGAATAAAACCTCACTCCTACATGGTTAGGAGCAGGATGCTTCCTAGCCCTAACTCCTACAGGTTTAGGGAGCTTATCCAACAATTGCTGCTACTTCCACGGAAGAAAGTTAAGTCCAGGGACCAAAGCCTTGGTCCTGTGTCACAGAAAAATGGAGGACCAGGTTTTTATTTTATATGATGTTATTTAGGAGCAAACTGTTTGGGATGAACATTAACTGTGGACTACTGAAGATGTTGAGCTTCTTGTTGAATAGGCCACCATTTGCTGCGTTCCCTAAACATGCTAAACCAGGAGCCCCAGTTGACTACATTGGCTGGATTCATTTAAGAGACAAAATCAATCAAGCTGCCTTATGGCTTAGGGCAGGGATCCCCAAGCTCTTCAGCTCATTGGCCTCTTTGTGAGGTTTCATTTCAGGTTGTTCATTGACCCCCAAACATTTATTATATGAAAATAATTGAATAACTACTACTTTAACTCATAGTACTATAAATAATAACAATAATGATAGTCCTATCAACCTGGGGTGAGGGGTTGATATTGACCACTTTGGAGAACTCTAGTTTAGGGCAATGTCTGAACCCTACCTGGGAATTCTGAGCAATGCTGGGTGGGTAGGAGGGGGCTAAGCTAAAGTGTGATGAAACTATTACCCATTTACTGTTCTCCAACCTACTTGGTTCCATTTAAGTTATGTTTTTAAATGTATTTCAACCACGCCTCCTGCCTTTCTTCACCCTCGATTTTCTAGTACCTCAAATAGAAAGGAAATGCATAATTGACTCTGGAGCCTGATCTCTGTTTGTGTGTGCACGGGTATGTGTGTGTTTCCTTTCCACCTTGTTTCATTGCTTGTGAACCGACCTTCTGGGGGCCTGCTAAAGCTGTGGCAGGAAACAGTGAAGCTAAAGAAAAGTCCACAGGAAGACCACAAATGCTGCCTTTTAGCCCCCAAGAGAAAACTTGACAAAGTTTCACTTGAGTATGAGCTCTTTGGAACATTCTCTTCCATCCCACGTGGACCATAACAACATTTTCCTGACGTAGCCGCAGTGACACTATTCACAGATAAGAAGGGGGGATCAAGAAGCTTCGGGAAACCCTAACATTTGTAGAAGTGCAACATTATTTTAGGTGGGGGAAATGAAGCACAAAATACAGTGAAAACAGCCCTTTGATGGGTATATTCAGCAACCCACTGGGCTGATTCACTGTCGGTTACCTTTTTCTTTCGTTAGACCTTGGATTGAGGTTATATGTTTTAGCTTAATTGAAAACATGGGTTTAATTGGGAGGGGGTTGAGGGACACATGGGGTATTTTTAATGTCCTCTTATTGTAAACTGCTTGGAATCACGTGGATGGGGTGGGGATACACATTTTTATAATACATGAAATTGGAGATGTTGCTTGGCATCAGGTTTTGGACTAAACCATGATGTGTTTAAGGGCCTTTCGGTAAATACTGTAACCTTTTTAAGGAAACCAATAATTGTCTGGGTTCACACAAGCCACTAAGTGCAGTTAATGTATATTATGTCTTAGTGCAAAATGAGAATTCAGCCACAATACTCTGGGTGCATATGGGTGTGTGTGTGTGTGTTTGTGAGAGAGAGAAAGAGAAGAATATATACTGTGTCAAAGGTACGTTTTCTCAGGAGATTGGAGGAACATAGTAATTCTGTAGGAGGTAGATGGGAGGGCACCATTCTATTTTACTCAAAAGGATCCAGACTCTGGGACTTTATAAATCATTTTCTTTGCTAGGGACTCTTTCTGTGGTTCTAATTGAACATCTAAGCTTGGAGGAAGGACAGAATCTGGATCTCCACTGTGTTAACAATAAAGGCAACAGCTCAGCTCTGGAATGGAAGGATCCCCTTGGTTTTGTGATATTTTTCAATACCTGGCAAGGTAGGTTAAGCGTGGGATGAAACTGGTGGCCCAAACAATCTTTTCCACTGGAAGGAAACAAGAAGTGGATTTTCCTACTGGGCTTTGAAGTGTAGCCTGTTGACATAAATTCATTTTCACACCATGACCTGCCTCTTCTCATGCAGGAAGTCAAAGCCACAAAGATCTCCATGCTGTGGTTAGGATATGTGAATAGAGCAATTTCAGTAGTTCTATCACTGCCTCTGCATTTCTTTTCTTTTTTTTAATTATTTAAAAGGTCCCCACTCCATTCTTTTCAACAAGAGAACACTTTACATGTTGTTCAGTTGTGCTGATGTCCAGCTCTGTCCTGGGCAAGCATTTATTAGTTTTTATGGAGGTATATATTTATAAATATGGAGATATTTATATCTATCTATCTATCTATCTATCTATCTATCTATCTATCTATCTATCTATCTATCTATCTATCTTCTATCTCTATCTATCATCTATCATATCTATCTATTATCTATCTCTTTGTACCAAGATGCTATAGAGAGAAGCAAGTTTTTGATACTTGAAACACCGTGTTGGGTGTGTTTGTTTTTTCCCTCTTTGGAATTAAAATTATTTCTCCTTCAATAGCTAGTAGATTGAGCTATTGAAACGGTTGAGCTTAGCCTTTCCATCTCATGCAAGAGATTTTCAAACTCAGCAAGTCATAATATAAGTAATAATTAAAGCATTTTAAAAAAAAGGATAAAGTGGCAGAGTGGGAATGCCAGAAAATATAAAATAAAATCAGATTTCCAAACAACTTTACTCCGAGGCATCAAAAGTCCTGGGAGACAGGAGGAAGAGATCCATGCCCTGTAAAGGAAGTCTACAATCTGGATAGTATAGCTAAGAAAATCCTATCATCTATCTTCACCCTGCAGTTTTCAAAAATAGAACTATCCTGAGAACAATTTTTTCTAGTTATCAGAATATGGTTCGTATGGGAAAAAACAGTCACGACAATGGGATTTGGGGCCCCAAGAGCCACTTCTCTTGGAGACAGTGGTTGCAATAAGCATGTCTCTGTCCATACGTATGTACCCACACCACTGCGAAGGACTTCAATGAGCCATAGGATCTCTCTCCTCAGGTAGATGGATAGGTCATGGAAAATTCAAAACAAGATGCTTGTTTTTTCACCCCAGAGCTGACAGCTCCTTGGCTTGGAAGCCCTCTACTAAGATTTAAGCCCCAATGAGGCCATGTTCACTTTCTGTTGCTCCTGGAACATACCAGCGTGACTGTCCCTCCCTCTCTTTACTCCAAGCCCAAGAAAAATAGAATCAGTGTAAAGTAAAATATCAGAGAAGAAGGCCACAGCAAATCACTTTGGTACTGTTGCCAAGGAAACAAGGTGAACATGAAGTCACCAGGAACTGGATCCAACTGGAGGGAGAGAACTTTTACCTGGTGCATGCCTCCCAGATTAATTCAATTTTTCAGGAGCAGTGGATGGTCCCACAAGTCCTATGAGCTAGTGAGACTGCATAAGGATCTTGACAAAAAGCAAAAGGAAGGAGGACACACCAGCTGAGACACACCAACTGCTGAGAGGGTAGATAAAGTGAGCCTCTTCTAGCTGAGCCTCTCACAACCAAGATGGCAACAGTCTCTTAATTGGAGATCTTTGAGGTGGTGGTCATCCACACTCATCTTGCTTTGACAGCCTCTTGTTTTCAGTACAGGTGACTTCCATGACCTTGCCTTGCCTTGCTAACATGTCCAGTCCATGTTTAGGTTTGCCCTGTCATATTGAGACAGAACCAGTTTGGTGCTTGGAAAAGTAAGCTTTCAGAGCATTCTTATCCATTTGTGTGTGTGTGTGTGTGTGTGCATTTTCTCTCTTTTGAGCAGGCGTAAGAGATGGAAGGTATGGACTTCTGCGTTACTCAAAGGATGTATTATCCATTCGTCTTTCCAACGTAACAATACATGATGAAGGGCTGTACACATGCCTGTACTACAGCAAGACTGTTGGAGGCAAACTAGTGAACGTTACAGTTTTTGGTAAGATCTGAAACTCCTACCTTTCAGTGGATGATGGCCTGTGTAGAGGGAAAGGGTAGTCTTGAGCTGAACCCTAGGCAGTTGTTGAGCAGGACAGGGGACATAATTCTCCTATGCCTGCAGAAGTTCTTTCTTCAATCCCCAGCATCTGCAGTAAGGCTGGAACCCATTGTGTAAATGCAGAAGAGCTGCATGGACAGTATAGGCTCACATGTTGCTCTAAGCCATAATGTAATAAAAGATGGGCCTACTGATTAAACCATAATAGACTGAGTTTACACACCACCAAACCAAGTAAATCAGATTATGGCTTAGTGTGCTGTCTGAACCAAACATGGACATGGCAGTTTCCTATGTTCAGGACCCAGGTGTAGCCCCCCTTTGATGGAAGACTTCTTCCTGATACAAGGATATGGGTGGCTGAAGCTACTTTAATGTGTGTGAAAGCTCCATCGCCCAAGGAGATTTTTGGTTGTAGGTCTGGTCAATCACCTCATAGACAACAATAGAGAGAGAAGGTTCTCTGCTCCTCTGTTAGTAGGTCCAGGTAAGGATAGCCGCCAGCTTTCAAATATTGGCGATTACCAGATAATGTGCAGAAAACAGGCAGTGGTGGTCCAATCAGATAAAACAATAAAAGCCAACTAGGATGCAGTCGCAAATAAAGCACTGGCATAGAATTTAGAAACAATCAGTGTATTTTTGTACACTGTTGTACACTTTTCTGTCCTCAATTGTTAAAAGCTTACTAGTCTTTTCCAGTGGGTCTTTAGCCTTTCTGTTTAGTAGATTGGGAGCCTTGGTCTTGTTTTCAGTTGGCTCCCAAATCCAGTTCTGGAACTGTGCATAATCTGAACAATGCTTTAGGGAAATAAACCAGGATTATAAACCATAGTCTGAAAATGACTTGTTTTCCTAAGCTACAGTTAAGACTAAGCACAGTTGGACAGCTGTTGTGGTTGACTTTAAACTGAAACAAAAGTTTTGAAACTTCTTTGGACCAGACCAGAAGATTAAAAAAAGGAGGAAGCTGATAGTCCTATAGCTGATTTACATGACTGGAGTTCAGCTTACATCTGACCTCCAGCTACATGGATGGGAAGAAAATAGAAAGCTGTAGCTCTTTTTCCTTAGGGGTCAAAAATCCTGGTCCTGTTCAACTCAGATAAAATTCCAGTAGGAAAACTACAACCTAATGGACCATCTTCTTTTTACAGCCCCTCCTTCCAAACCTTTGTTGGAAGCTTTGAGGACTACAGTAGACCACACAGAAGAAAATACTGTCTTAAGGTGTTCCACTGAGGGCTGCTGGCCTGCCCCTCAGATTACCTGGCTGCTACAGAATGGGATGGAAATCTTTGGTATGTTTCAAATAACTTATTTTATTTCCTGGAATATCCTTTGCCTTTTAACGGCCCTTCTTAAATAACACTGAAAAAGTGCCAAGCAATTACCTGCTTTAAAATCAGGTTGCTAGTTTATTTAATTGCTAGTTGGTTCCATTATATTAGCAGTGAAGTTGATTTATGATCAGCATACAACAAAAACAACACAGAACATTAAACATTAAAAATGAGTAAAATAAAAAATAAAAATAGCTGAATGTCTAAAGTGGGAGAGAAAAATTGTATGAACCTGTTAAGATAGCATAAAGGAATACATTCAGGCTGTACAAAATTTTGCCTTTGGATCCTAGATCTTAAATGTGGTCACTGTTGATCATTATTATTAGAGTAATGCATGTTCATAGAGATTGTCTCCTATAATCAAAACATGCATATCCAACTAACAGATGTGATTTGATAATACATCAGATTTTAGCAGTGGTATTTACTGATTCAGACCTATTAGGTGCTTTTGCTTTTCCTCCTCCAAAGGCATTTTAAGAAACTTTTCTTGCAAAATATTCATTATTTCATAAGCAGCCTATTTTAATTAAATTTAGGGAACACCAATCACCAGGGCAAATTAGTCATGAATAATTTAAGTCCCATTTATGTTATTAGGTTTATTGTGAGCAAGAATTAGCCGAGTATCATCCTAAACAGGGAAAATGTTGGCAGTGATTGGCTTACCTGCCCCGTTTTTCCAGAGATGCTGGCCAATCAGAATTGTTTTGGGCCTCAGTTGTTCTCATTCTCAGCAGGAGTAGGACACTGAGGAAGAGAAAAGAGAATCCAAGAGAAACCAAGAAAATGGGAGGCTAAGAAAGCAAGCCTGGGAAGTGTTTAACAAGAATGAGAGAAAGAGAGGGCGGAGCTGGCGTCGCGGCGATACGGCGGGCTCCCAGGATGGCAGCCGATATCTCCTCCCCCGGACGGTCCCGATGGACCTAAGCCGTCCCGTAGAGCTGGCGAACGCAAACGGCGCGTCCCGCGGATCTCAGG